CAGAATTAGGATTAACAAAAACATCAACTAGATCAGGAAAAGTTCCGAGACCTGTAAAGGAATTAGGAAAATTAATAAGCACTGCTGCTTCATCTTTGAAGGCTGAAACATAATCAATTTGTTGTTTAACAATGAGACCTAGATCAACGCAGGTTTTTAAACCTAAGAAAGACACAGTGTCTGCTTTGGTTACAGTAAATAAAATTTTGTATAATACATTTTGACCAGGTAAACTGCAATTCAAAAGTACATTACCAAGTGTTTCGATTGGATTACCGCCGTATCCCAGAATGATCGATTTATTTGGCGTCAGCACATTATCCGCATTCTTGACCTTTTGAAAGATGTAGTTGGGTAGAATGTTGATTTCCGCACCTGTGTCCAGTTTGAAGTCAACGAAGGAGTTGTTCACACGAATGTTCTGCATCCAGAATTTGGCTGAACTACTTGGTGTATCGTTGATCGCATGGACTCCTTGGGTATTGGTTGAATCCTGTGTGTGAGATGTGCTGGCGGTTGCTGACTCACTCAAATTCACCGACATTTCAGGAGAAACACTAGTTTTGTTTACAATACTTGGAGACATGGGCATCACAGAGCAATGATTATCACAATTGACTAGAACATTTTGCTTCACGGAGCAATAATTATCATTAATTACTAGAACATTTTGTTTCACCGAGCAATTAGAATTTAGTGGATTTTGCATGTCGGAGCATTTGTTAATTTCACTTAAGGAATTTGCTTCAGCGCAATTATTAAAAACACTTAAGGAATCATGCTTCTCGGAGCAATAATTAAAATTTCCACTTATCGGGATGGGTTTTTCAGAGCAAAAATTGGAGACAAAGAACGGATTATGCTTCCTGGAGCTATCATCTATAACACTATTAGGGTTACGCTTTTCGGAGCTGTCATTCGGACAAATTACAGGTTGAAGCTTCTCGGAGCTAGGTAAGGAACGATCAACAACAATTTCATCGATTATTACAAAATCTTGTGTATCAATGTAATTGGCATAATTAGAATTAAACGGGATAGAGGCATTAATGGAAGATGATGCTAAATTTACTGTATCAGCTGAGCGCTGAGCAGGAGCACTAGAGGAAGGTTTAGAGCGCGTTTCACAGACACTTGCGAAGTGATTAAAGAACCCGCACTTTGAACATCTTTTGCGGAAGGCCGGACACTGACGAATAGGATGAAGTTGTCCGCAGTTTTTACAGTTGATCTCACTCACTTGCTGCAGATTTTCTTGGGGTTGAGACGAGCTGGTTCTTCCTTGCTTGGAGGTACTCGCAGAGTTCTGATGACGATTATTAAAACTGTTTCGCTGTTTGCTGGAGTTGGGTCTGGGCTGATATTTGATGTAATGGACCTGATTCCCATTGGACACTTCATTTGCTCTTTGCTTCCCAGTTTCCACAGAACGACAAATCTTGACTACCTTGTCTAAATCAAACTCTTCACCGAGGAGCCTTTCTTGCACCGTTTTGTTGTTGATCCCAACAACTAATCTATCACGAATGAGCTCCGCTTTCAGAGTTCCGAAGTCGCAATCATCGGCTAACTTCTTAACCAAGAGAAAGAAGGCCTCGAATTCCTCCGATTCCTGCTGACAACGGGAGTTAAACAGAAACCGCGAATAAACAAGGTTTTTCTTAGGTTTGATGTACGAGTCTATTGCTTGAATGATGTTTGAAACTTTCGAACTTTGTGCTTCGGATAAATTTAACGTGTTTAGCAATTCACAAGCCTCCTCACCAACGATATTCTTAAAGATAGCGACCTGGACCGCATCACTTTTCGCGTCTAATTCGTACCCGATAGAATAGTTCTTGTAACTTTCTTTGAACCGTTTCCAATTTTCGCTAGGAGATCCCGATAGTTCTAGAGGTGATGACACTCTCAACTCCATTGTTAAAATTACCGAACAAGAGCACACATAAAATGGAACAAAAGAACAAAAATCGAAATGAGGCTAAAATTGATTAAAACTGGTTATTTAAAACTTCATGATCGAATCATGATTTCGAATGACTAGATTTCGCGAGACTTACGAGTCTAGTTACGGTTTTAGAAGCGATGCATGGCGTGCTGGCACAGTTGATGGCTGTCACTTATCCTTCTTGATCCTCGTCGCCATGTTTGTAGGTGGGAAGGTGGTGGGCTGGAAAGCAAGACTACGAAGCCATTATCACGCTTGAACACTTTTATTTAACGAAAGTGACACACAACCATCAAAGATATAAAAAGACCAAAAAGACACGCAATACAACGTTCATACCGCCATGATGGTCGGCTCACGAATGAGGGTTGTTGTCATCGATGGCTGGTGAGCCACCGACAACCCCAACACCGACAGACACAAAATTTCAACAATCAGGCTGCAGGACCCCCAGACACTCGCTACGCGAGTGACATTAGGTTCGCCCTGCGAACCCTTCTTTTTAGTAATTCGACATTTAATCAGCATGATATATACATTTTGGAGACTCCCAAGACAAAAATAATTTTGTCATAGAATCTTGTTACCGGAACGTCCCATCATTCGAACATTAACAAATATGTGGAGATGAAAGGAATGATGGGGATCGATCATTTCTTCAAGAACGCATTTGACGTCAGCCCCATCGGGTGGAGGAACGGAACGTCTGTGGATCGCTCCTTCCACGTTTTAACTCGCTAAAATAAGTAAATTAACAAAAGTTCATCTTCGCTTCTCAAAGAGATTATCGGTGGTATAGCGGTCTGAAAACTGTTCAACGACAGTATAGGTCCAGTTTCGAATGGCTAAGAGCCCACTTGTGTTTTTTTTTTCATACTTTCCTTGCATATTTTCTCTGATGTTTTTGTTTTATTTTCTCTGATTGCAGAAGAAGTTAGGTATATCCTCATTTCATTTCTTTTTCCTTTCATTTTTTCCTTTATTGTAGCATCTGTCTCCATTTGCAATTATTATTTTAAAACTAATTTCCCTAGTATACATTTGATGCTTCAAACGGAATCAATTTGTTTTATTAATGACACTTCCAGCTAAATCATGGGTTTTCCCGGGAAGGCACCTTTGCAAGTTCAAACCCATGAAAATGTTCACACTTATCGCACAATCTGGCAACTTTTCGAGTGAAATAGAAAAAGGCGGAATCGACTGAAAGTCTGAATCCTTCGAAGTTTATATTAATGAATTAATGATGATACGTGAAATGTCGCCGCTGTTTTAGTGGTTTTCCTAACCTGGCCAATAGAAAAGTGAAGTTCAGCGTTTACTTACCCCATTTTCATTTATCACCTCTGGTTCCGTCACAATTAACCGATACCACAAAAGCCATAGAAAATTATTGACTGCAAAACTTGTGAACAGATTTTTGTGCATCGTATTTCTTGGACATCTTAATGCTCTACAAATAATTAAGACATTGTAATTAAGTAGGTGAGTCAATGGATCACATTTGATTTAACAATCAACAAGGTCATAGAAATTATATTACCTACACTCATATGCATACTTATATCAGACACTCATATTATATATTCGCCGGTGAAAGTCGGCAATCACATAACTCGTTTGCGGTGTCTGAAAATCTCCGCCTCTACGTCATTTTCTTAAAGGAGAACGAATTGACATTATTGCTCGAAGTTTTTGCAGAATTTTCTTCGCATTGAGAAGAAAAATCATGACAGTTTGAGAGAATTGCCGTTAAGTATTTTTGCCATTTAAAAAATAAAGTATGACCGGAAGTCTACAACGTCGCAAACCGAGTTATGTGATTGCCGACTTGCACCGTCGATATGTTGCAAAAATTAATGATTCTAGAACAAAGGGTCGATTGCCCCCTTCAGATTTCTGTGCGTTAACAGCGAGGCAATTTAAAAAATCACGGCAAAAAGGAGACAGTTTAAGGATCCTACATGCATTAAAACGGCAACAAGCTCCATGTTCCCTCTGCGAGACAATAGAGAAGGGAACTCCCATTATGAATTAGGTAAGTTCATGCTTGTGCACGTCTCACCGTTCCTAAACACAATATTGGTGTGAATGAACAAAGCTAGCTGCACTTTCATCCATGCCCTGTGGCAAGGGCGACATGAAAATGGTTGCGCAATTCTGGAAGAACCGCCTTTGGGGCCGTCAAAGAAATTTGTAACGCTCTAGAAGGAGAGGTTCCGAGACTGCATCGAGGGGATTACGGATGAGAGGAAGTGGGTTGGGTTTCCCTTATTTTTGGGATTTGAGACAAGTTAAGATCCCTTGATCTCATAACGTAAAGCGAAACAGGAAAAAAATAGGAGCAAACGGAAAAGTAGAGACAAGGGGAATAAAAAAGTATAAGAGAAACAAATGTTTTTAGAGAAATGAGGAAATATAAAAGCAGAACAAAAGGAAAAGACAGGAAGAAGAGGAAGTAGTTGAGGCGCAAGGAATGAAACAAAAAGTTGTATAAAATAACTTGGTAACTTCCCAAGTAGCATGGGGTTCTATTTTCTGTCCAGCACTTATTTAGAAATTATCCATTTTCTAGACAGATAAGTAAAATAGAAAGAAAATGGAAAAGAAATAGATGTATCAGATAGAAGTAAGAAAATTATTGAAAGACTTATCTATTTTCTGTCTATGTTCCGGACACGAAATACAAGGGAAACAGACAATTTTTTTGTGTACATTCTGTATTTTTTCTATCTGTTTTCTAAATTTTAAATTTCTAAGAAATAGATAAAGAAAATATCCAATTTTTCTCTATTTTCCATCAGGTTCTTGGATATTTTTTCTTAGGGATATAGCAATTTTCTAGACGGAAAATAGATCCATTTTGTAGACAGGAAATAGACCTATTTTCTTTGATGAATAGTGACACTCACTGTGCGCGTCGCCTGGGGGAGGGGGGAAAGGGGGGAGATGCATCCAGCAAACGCTACGTCAGAGATGACGTAGCAAGTACGACCTTTGCCCTCTAGCGGGGGTTGACAGAAACACGCACTTTTCGGGAGCTCAGGAACCGGTACTGCCGTGATAGCGAAGAGAGCCGTAAGTGCAAAATTTTCGAAATCGAGTTTTCTTCAAAATTCGTCTAAACTCTTTCAGGTGAAATTACTTAGACAACTAAAACAACAAAATTCATCCACCTTTAATGAAAACGAGACATATGAAAAAGCCGTAAGTGCACAAAAAATGACATAGTTTTTTTTCAAGACAGCCGTAAATGCATGAGAGCCAATGAAAACGGTGCTTTCCAGTAAAGTGCCGCCCTCCTCTGCCGATTTCTAACCTGAAAATGTGTTTGTTGTGCGTCCAAAACGCAACCACGAAAGCATGCAGAAGATAGCACTTACGGCTGCCTTGCCTAACAATAACCTAGCATGAAAATGAAAAATACCCTTTTTATGTAATGGAAATAAAATCAGTCGATTTTTAATCATCCATGCGATTTCTAGGAGTCTTCTGGACATAGAGTACAATAGAGTCGCAATGTACTGGATCGCCGTTGAAGCCACTTTTGGAGGCTGTTTTGTCCAGTACATGAGAAACTAGTGTGCGGCGACTAGCGATGACGCACGCGCAGAGACTGGCGCTCAGCGCTCCCCACTCCCCGACTCGGCTCCGCTACAGTGAGGTCCATACACATTGAACCAGCTAAGTAGGCCGGTAACAGAGACAAAGCCGGTAATAAGTCTGAAATTGAGTCCATCTATGAATATTATCCAAGAGTAACATACATTAATGGATTCGTTATGGCTTTGAATATCTATTTAAAGCAAAATTTGCACAAATTAATATAGATGGAATTTAAAAAAAGCGAAAAAACACAAGCAGTCGTTGATTTCTCCAAAAGCCACCGTGTTAAAAAATGCCAGTTGGTTCACACTTGGTATAAGTCAGAAATTAAATCCCTATATGAATATTCTCCAGGAGTAACATACCTCAATGGATTCAATATGGCTTTGACTACCTAATTATAGCAAAATTTGCACAAATTAATATCGATTGAATAAAAAAATGTCGAAAAAACACAGGCAGTCGTTGCTTTTCCCGTAAGCCCGTGATAAGAAATGCCGGTTGGTTCACACTTTGTATAAGTCAGAAATTTAATCCCAATATGAATATTATCCAGGAGTAATATACATCAATAGATTCATTATGGCTTTGACTACCTTTTAATAGCAAAACTTGCAAAAATTAATGCTGATTGAATTATAAAATGTCGAAAAAACACAAGCAGTTCTTGATTTCTCCATAAGCCGCCGTGTTACAAAATGCCGTTATTGGTTCACACTTGGTTCACACTTTTCGGAGCAGACGCGGTTCGGAAACGCCTGTTCATGGATTGGCTTCATCGGCGCTCCAGTACTTTGCGACTCTTATTGTACTCTATGCTTCCGGACGATTAGTGGCAATTTGACAAAGAACGGAGGCTTCTTTCAATAAAATGTTCTTGTCAGAAGCATTCTGAGCCCGTTTTCTAAAAACTTCAATTTTGCACTTACGGCTCTCTTCGCTATCACGACAGGATAGCGACCCAGAATTTAATTCTGCGCAGTTGCTTCCCAGTTCAACACCAGTTCTCTCTCGAGTTCTTCACCGACCTTGGTTTTCATTCTCTCTCGTTCGAGTCAGATTGGTGCGCGCTATCTTGCCTTTGCAGTTTTTTGCTTTTCTGCAGCCTTGATTAATTCTTGCACTTTTCTCTCATTCATTGGTAAAGTCCTGCATTTTTAGTTCACCTTCTAGTTTTCTGCCTTATCATTTAGTTTTGCATCTCCACTTTCACTCGAGATTAACCAGTTGCCGAGAGAGGAGTTTTTCCTAGTTTTTTATGCGCAGCATCAGGTGGTTGTGACTCATTCTCCCTGGGTTGCATTGTAACGTCGCCGTGTGGTTTTGCCATACGCCTTTAGCACACTGATTATGAGTTTTGGGTTATGTTTTCACGCCGTCGCCACGCCTTTTGCTATGTCTAGCTATAACAAAGACATAAAGACGGAGCGCTAAAAGCAAAAAATGAAGCTTCTTTTCAATCACCTCTACTATTGGCTAGAGGATTGGCGGCGAAATCGGGACAAGTTTGAAATTCAAATGTAGGGCGGGAACTAAATAAAATTGCGGAAATAAAGTATTTTAGGTTGATTTTTGCCCAAATTCACTTACACACCCATATTTTTGTAACTTTAGGTTAGTTTTGGTCCGTCGTCGACCGATTAATTTCACTTGGGAGTAACGGTCATCTACGACTGTAACGGCCTGTTTGAACCGGCAGAACCACCATTAGCAGAAGAAAAACTAACTTTATCTGAGATTACTACCTGTTACCGAGCAAAAGTAGGTGTATTATAATAGGACGCAGTTCCAACTTTCTTAATATATTCGTTTTAGGCATTTAAAATACGTTTCGAAGAAGAAATGTGGAAAAATCAAGAGGACAAGTTCAAATCAAATTTCCGTTTGCCGCCATGGATGCCCGCGCTCATTTACACACTCAAACAAGCACCCAGCGCCAAACCAGTCTTCACTTTTTCCCCGTTCTTTTAGATACGAGCACTCCATCTATGTCTTTGAGCTATAAGCACTATCCTTTAGCCGCGGACACGTGAGTTTTGCCATGGGGCTTCTGCCCCCCTACGCCTTCGGACTTGGCAACCGCCATCCAGCTAGCCTTGTTCTTATCAGTATAATTATGTGAGTAGTTGTGTGTATTTAAGGGGGGCTTGGGGTATCCAGGTTAGGTTAAGTTCTTTCTCTATCTAGTTTGCCATTTTCTCTAATCTTTCCTCGGGTTTTTCGCCCTTTTACCCATAAAAGGTCGCGGTCCCTCGTGCCATTTTCTCTGCCATTTAGCCACTATCTTCTCATTCCTTCATTTTTTCTTATGGCATTTAGGGGGTCTAGCAGGGGCCGCAGTCCCCCCTCGTACGATTTTCCTTACTCACTTTAAATTTTCTGTCTACTTTCCATAATGCTATAGCTAATTTTTCTTTCTTTTCTAAATTTTTTTCACTAATTTTTTTTTTTTCGTAAAATATTTTCATTTTGCTACTTGGGTTTACTTTTGTTTGTTTACTGTGGGTTTGTGTACGTACACATCCTTAGTAGTATGAAAATGAGGACTTGACCAGGTAAAAAATCCAATAAAAATCGTACAGCGTTGCATGATGGTGCAGAAAAATACGAATTAAATTACAGTGTTGTATATGGATAATTATTCAATATGACAACGCTGTAAAGTAAAAGTATTGCATGTTGCCCCTTCAATAATCGGGTTATGCAATCGTGCAATGTAGCCCCTTCAATCTGCGGTTTATGCAATGGTGTATTTTTCAAGATGGCGCAGCAGCGTTGCCGGACGGTGCACTTAAATAAATGGTTTATTTATTGGTGAAATTTTGCAACATCGCATTTTACAGTGTT